GAAATGTGCTATACAAATAAACTTGCCTTGCCTTGCCTAAGACAAGCACTGGTGACATGTATACAGCAGAAGGGCTATTGACTGTCACTTGTGTTTGCAAATAGTCAAAAAGACCCTTAATTGAAATGATCTGATCTGGTTAGGCATTACTTAACAGTCGGGTAATTTGACACAGACCTGTTTGACTTCTGCCCTTAATTCACTCAGCCATTCACAGTCTGAAACTGAGCCGGAGCCACGTGGACTGGCACAGCGTGGATGAAGTGTACCTTTACAGCGATGCTACCACTTCTAAGATCGCACGGACTGTTACTCAGAAACTGGGATTCTCTAAAGGTTTGTAACACCCTTGATTAGTAAGTACATTCTCAATAGTGTTGCTCATTTAAAGACCACATAAAATGGCTTGATGAGTGCAGTGCTCTATTCTAAGTTTTGCATTTTCTGTTGAAACTGGACATTTGGGCAGGACATATTCACCCTTTTTTTTTAAATAGCCAATCCATGGCTGAACTCAAAATAACATGATGGCACACTACTCGTACTATTTCTGCAATACAGAAGTGTAGTATGCTAGTATGTTATTTAGAATTCAGTGCATGATTTGCTACTTGGGACAAAAAAAATTGTGAGTCATCAGTATTTTTGGTTTAGTTTCCCAGAAGAGAAAGAGAAGTAACTTTTCAATTCATGTATCTGCTTAAAGTACATGATTGGAGTACACTAGCCCACAGATGATTTCAAAGCGAATAGACATGAAATAAAAGAAAAAAAGAAAAATATATACATTTTTTAAAAATTACACTGGGTCACTTTACTGCTTTTGCACCATTGAGAGTATATTATTTATTGACTTGACGTGGAACAGCTGAAATTTAGAGGACTTTTTTGACCTGGGAACTAAGTACGTCTATATGTAAATTCATAATTACTAATTACTATTGTCTTTTAAATATGGTTTACGTGTACTGCCGAATACACTGACAAGCACTGATGTTAAACTAAATTATACTTTAAAGTCATCTCTATTGAAACCTGTCTGTCATATATGTAAATATAGATTTAAAGTACACTACATGACACAGTACCTTCAAGCTTTTTCACTAGCAGAGTCACCGTTAAACCTAAAGATAAAATAAAGTGATTATCAATTTAGCAAAAGCTGCAAAGTTTCTTCCTTCATGTCTGGTTAGCGTCCAGCAGCGGGACCCGTCTCCATCGAGGTTACGTGGAGGAGGCGGCTCCAGAGGACACGCCTCCTGAAACAACGCACATAGTCTTTGTGGTACATGGGATTGGCCAGAAGATGGATCAGGGGCGTATCATTAGAAATACAAGCATGTGAGTCCACCAATCACACAGTTGAATCTGCACAAAACCAGTCATCTAGACCTGAAGCTAACTAATGCATTTCACTGATGGTTAGGATGCGTGATGCTGCCCGCAAGATGGAGGAGAAGCACTTTTCTGAGCGAACAAATGAACACGTTGAGTTCCTTCCTGTGGAATGGCGATCTAAACTCGCCCTTGATGGAGGTATTGCCTATGGAAAATAATTAAGAACAAAGTACATTATGGTTGAAAACCATTATTGTTGATAGATTATTTATGACGAAATTGACCTTTTCAGACACCGTGGACTCCATTACTCCAGACAAAGTGCGAGGTCTGAGAGACATGCTGAACAGCAGTGCAATGGACATTATGTACTACACGAGCCCTTTGTACAGGGATGAGGTGACATACAGCCACAATCCTCCATTCTTTTCATTCATTTTCTCAGTATTTTTTTATTTTTCAACTCTCTAACCCATTATAAACTAGACATGTTTCAAAATCTAACACATAAACAACAATTTATATAGTTTAGTATAGTTTCAATTGATATTAAATACAATTAGACGAACCATAGAGTTCTTTTTTGACCCTCTTTATATGTAATATAATAATTCTAATGTCTTTCAAATACAGTTAACGCGTATGTATGGTTATTTCAATGTCATTTCTATTGAAACTTGTATGTCATGTATTTAAATATACTTGTAATATCACATTTTAATGATGAAGTTGCAATTTACTACATGCTAAATATATCAGTTTTCAGTGTAATACTGAATAACGTAGTAAAATTATGTTGTTAGTCAACATATCAAAAATAATTTGACTTATTTAAAGCAAAACAAAAGATTAAAACAATGATTTACAATGCACTTTAAAGTAAACGTTTTATTTTGACATTATTACAAAATGCACTTTTTAATAGTGCGCTTAAGTGTGTTAAGAAATATAATCTTGAAAGTGTTCTCAGTTTGAGTACACTTAATTGGCCTTTTATTTCATTCATATTATATTATCTCAAGTACATGTATCTCTAAGTGCAGTCTTTTGTAATTTGTGGACAAGAAATGTTGGGTATAAAGTTCAGAAAGTATAAATATTAATATTATTTAAAATAGATGATTTTAACCAATACTTGTTTGTGCTATGTATTTGAGCTTATTCGAGTATTTTTAGCTTAGTAGCATTCGGTTGATTATTCACTACATCACTACCTGTGTTCAGTGTTATAAAACTGTCACTTATTAGGTTCCATTCAGAATGCACGCTGCTAAGTTAGAAGGCAGCTGTCTATGTAGGCAGTAGACAGCATGGCAGCTGACTAGGTTTTGGAGCAGAGCTATTCTCAGTCTCTCTCATGTAAAGTTTGACTAAATGTCCTACTCGTACACTGAATCACACTCTGTCCTACTCTTTCGTAGTACACAAATAAAGTGCACACTTGTTCATTTCTTGCTCACTGCACTTGCATCCTCAGATCACCCGAGGTCTGACCAAAGAGTTGAACCGACTCTACACGCTCTTTTGTGAGCGCAACCCAGAATTTGCAGAGAAAGGAAAGGTGTCCATCGTCTCCCACTCGCTCGGCTGTGTCATAACCTTTGACATTATGACAGGGTGGGACCCTGTGCGCTTTGTTCATGAAGAGGTGCCAGATGCCATGGAGGCTGATGTTAGCAGACAAGAGCGCCAGCTACTGGAGGACCTTCGTAACACATGCTTAAGGTTTACAACTAATTATAGTTACACTCTACACTGCCATTATATTGAGTAAATGTGATAATAATGAGCAGCTACACTGAACATTCTTGAACTTTTTTTTTTTTAAGAACAAGAGAGTTTTGGGGAGGACACTTTGCCGGATTTCAGGATAAAAACTGAAAAATATTCCTAAACCAGTGACAAAAAATATATTTTTTTATTAAACTGATTTAATTGATTTGATTTATTATTTTTGATAATTTTTTTTACCCTTTATAAGGGCAAATTCTTAACCTTATTGAATATATGCATCATTTGTCATGTA